AAGATACTGAACCCCCAAATTGCTCCCGATGCTGTGCATCGGTGTGTGAGTGTATATGAATGTTTAGTTTCTGTTCTGAGGAGTAGTTGGCACCATCAGTGTATGAATGTGTGTGGATGGGTGAGTGTGGCATATAGTGTATAACCCATTGAGTGGTTGAAAGACTAGAAAGGCGCTACATAACTACAGTCCATTTACCATGTGTAGCCCATGTCAACATACATAAATGCGCACTATGCAACTTGCATATTGACAACATGAAGGGCCCTGTCCAGAATCAAACCGGAAAGGTTGCAGTTACATCCATTTTGGTCTTTATTTCTTGGAAGTTGGAGTCACAGTGAGTGGCAGCAGGACATCAATGTTTTGTTGACAGAAGAAAAAAGCAGCCACCATTAGGGCTGTCACTATGATGGAATTTACCCCAACGGTGCTTTAGGGTGGCTGAACAGCGTGGTAGGAAGCACAGCAGTAAAATGTTTAATCTCAGTACCTGCTTGTACTAAGATCCTACATCTTCCTCCTGCCTCCTGGGTCTGTGACCTTGTCAACTGACAACCTAATTTAGCTGAAAGTTGCTAGTTAACAGGGTCACTCATTAAACCGAAACACTGTCGGGCCGTGGGATAATTACTGGCCCAGTCAGCGTTTTGTTTCCGCACCTTTCTCCTGTGTGGTATTATAATCCTGAGAATCCTGTGAATTGAGGGATACTGAGTAGCACAGTGTTTCAGAACATTGTCAGCACCTCTGCTGTGTCTCTTCAGCCTCACTGCTCTGGGAAACTTTCTCGTTGTGAAAACGAGATACTGAACATGACATGTTTATGTGATGTCACATGCGGTTGAGGCAGTGGCTTATTTCCATCAGTCTTTATCACACTTTTCCTTTTTAATATGCCATCCTTTACACAAAGTGCACAAATTGTGTATTGCACATAAAACAGGTGGATAGAAAGACACCAAGCAAGAAATTGTACCTTCCAAAAATTCCAAAACTGCATCCCGTATAAAACAGAGATAAGATTGAGGCTTGCCAATGTTCACTTGGATAATCTAGGCTAAACACGTCCAGAGCCTGTCAGTGTACTGTACACTCAGAGATTGAATTGATGTCAAGCTACTTATCTGACTCTGTTACTTTAATGTTGTGGGTGGGACCACAGTCTCTTATTTTCAGCCACCACTGGGTTATCTGCCTGAAATTATCACTGTAATGACTCTGTGTATTGTTCTGATATTCAAGAGTGTCTCCTGTGCGCAAAAGTATGGGCATGGGGGTGCAAATGACAGTGTGCAATGGTTAAAAAGTTACATTTTGAAGCAAATAATATTACCTTTTTAAGCTTATGAACCACTCCAAATTGGGCTTCCTATATTTTAGGGCATTGAATAAGCTTACAATTCCCATAATGCAACTTAAGTGTCTGTTAAATGAATATAATTTTACGACATGGGAGCAATAAAATATTATCTTAGTTTATCTTGAAGGCCCACATCTTTCAAACTCCACACTTGCTGTTTGTAACTTTCTGGTCAAAATGTAAAGTTTCCAGCCTCTTTCAGACATAAGAAAACTCCCTCCAAAACAGCTGAGTAAATTGACCTTAATGTGTAAAATTGGTGCAGTATCCCTTTAAAGGTCCAGTGTGTAGGATTTAGTGGCATCTAACAGTGTAGCTGCTGATTGTAACTCCCTTGCTTTACCGCCACCATCCAAGCAAAGGGCCGCAGGTCGGATTCGAACCCTGCAGCAAGGACCGCAGCTTGGTTACATGGGCCCGGCCAACTACCCGACTACCCATGGGCTAACCGGGCTCAGCACGGACACCTATTTTCGTTTTATGAGGACGAAAACCATATTATCATCACTGTGTTGATGCTGCTGTTTACATTTAACCAGATGCAAATTCAAAAGTTGACCTGCAGAATTATTTCCTAGGTGTATACGTGTATTTTTGTCATTTTCTATGTTATTCCATACATGTAATTATCTTATATGTGTAGCATGAAGGGATGGCAAACTTTCATTTTTGTTGTACAACCTTGTGTTGTATAATAATAAATAAATTTTCTTGATTCCTTGATTATACTGATTATTAACTATTTTATACTGTTGAGAAACATTCAGTAGACAGTTTTCCATATTTTCTTACAGTGCTATAATTAGAACTGCTGGATGTGGGGGTTAAAAGGTGTCACCAAATGAGATGTGTGTGAAATGCTCTTTCTATTTTGGGTTACATTTGTGGAGCACCCTTTAGGTCAGTATGGATTGGTGTGCAGATTTTATATTATTATACAACTGAAACTGATATGTTGTTGATACACTGGCTGCACAAACTTGAAGTCTGAACTGTGTACTTTCTAGTGCTGCATTTGCTGACTCTGTACTTCATCAATACATGATTATACTCATTCACAAACATTAAAACAATGAGATGCGTGTCATTTTTATGATACTATGGAATCCCATTTCTGCCAATGTGATGGGAAAAAAAGATTCTGTAGTCATAAATATAATGATAAACGTTCTCCAAATTATGATTTAGCATGTCAAAATAAAGACTTATGCTGTGTCACTTCTATGTCGTACACCTATGCACACTACGTACTTATTTGCGTAGTGTAGTCATTTCGGCAGCACAGTATCAAATCGATGCACTTGCTGGAAATGACGATCACAACATTTAACTGCGTCACATTCTTCTACAGCGATTTTTAGTCAAATGTTTCATGCAAGGCGGAAATTACATCGTCTAAGCCGATGACCTGTACTCCTTCTACTCACTTTAAAATATAATGGTGTGTTCTGGTGATACCTTCCCTTCTGCTACGTAGCAGAAGAGCACTGAGGGTGAGAAGTGTCTAGTGTTCCACACTCAACTTTTTGATTGCTATGAGTGCACCACCCGGGTACTTGCAGTGCACTGCATTTTGCCACAATCAACAGTTTGAACGCACTTATGTACTCAAAATAGCTAGTGTAAGTATGGAAGTATTCAAACTGAGACACAGCACTATTATCTTACAATAATGACTTAGTATTTGAAAATAATGTCTTGGCGTTTCAAAATAAAAACTCAAACTATATTATTACCTGTGATACTAAATCCAAATTTTGAGAAAGTTTCTCTTTATTTTGAGAAAGTGATGTAATGACTTACAGAATCTTTTTTCCCCCTCAAATTGGCAGAAATGGGCTTCCATATGATACTGCATGATCCACAGCCCTGATGATTATGCTGGTGGTTTGGCTATGCTAACTAATAGTCCACACACACACACACACACACACACACTCACTTGTTTGACTGCCTAACCCGAAAACCAAATCTTCCCTCAAAACAGCTTAAACCTGTGGGCTCCAGCATTTTGGACCCCACATAGCTGTCAGACCACACAAGTATAGTGGGCTCCCTGTTTATGGGCCCCACAAAAACTGTAAAACAAGCCTGCTCTCTCTCGCTCTCTCTCTCTCTCTCTCTCTCTCACACACACAGACAGACACACACACATACAACATCCGTGACTGCACAGAGA